TAAAATACGTTTAGAAGATAATGAGTTACTTCTTCAAAACAGCTGCTTCGGCTTTTTAGTTTCTGGAAGCATTAGAATTCCAAATGTAAAAAATTATGACTTAAATTATTGTTTTTTTGTCAACAGAGATTAATTCGTTAAATAACTTAGTAAAGTCATTCTGGGAAGTTGAAGAAGTAAATGAAACTAAATCTACAGTTAATTCTGAATTAAATTATTGCAACGAACTTTTTAAAAAACTCATTTTACCGGCATGCGGATGGAAGATATGTGGTTAAAATGCCGTTCAAGCCAGATATTGGTGAAAACATACAATTAGGGGATTCAAAGGAAATCGCTGAAAAAAGACTGAATCAGTTGTGGAAACGTTTGTCGAGTGATTCTGTAATGAAAGAACTTTATGTTTCATTTTTAAGGGAATATGAATCATTAAATCATATGGAGAGGATGGAAGACTATTCTGAAACTGAAGGAGGATATTTTCTTCCTCATCATGGCGTGCTGAAACCTGATAGTAAAACAACAAAGTTACGCGTTGTGTTCGACGCGAGTGCCAAAACTACTAACGGTTGTTCATTGAACGACATATTATGTAAAGGTGGAATGATTCAAGAGGAACTTTTTTCCATCATGATACGGTTTAGAAAGCATATTTATGCATTTACTGCCGATATTGAGAAGATGTTTCGACAAATTGAAATATTGCCATCGCAGACCAAATATCAGAAAATACTTTGGAAGGAAGATGAAGATAAGCCTATAGAAATATACAGACTCAAAACGGTAACTTATGGCACAGCATGCGCTCCATATTTGGCACAAAGGACTCTTCAACAGTTAGCGAAGGATGAAGAAAAGGATTTTCCTGTAGCATCGAAAGTGGTCTTGGAAGATTTCTATGTAGACGACTGTCTTACTGGATCTTCGAATTTGAAGGAATGCATTCAGCTCCAGAAAGATTTGACAGAATTGCTCCAAAGAGGAGGAATGAAGCTACACAAGTGGTGTACTAGTTTTGATTCTCAGAACTCTGATTTACAGAATTTTTCATTTGATCGTAATAGTAATACAACTGTGAAGACGTTAGGTATGTTGTGGAATAATAAGAAGGATACATTGCAATATAAAGTTACTGTTAATGAAAAGCCTGATGTTACGAAGAAGAGATGTTTTATCTCAAATAGCGAGATTATATGATCCTTTAGGCCTACTCGGTCCTATTATTAGCAAGGCAAAGATATTCATGCAAGCACTTTGGTTGCTTAAGCTAGACTGGGCGGAACAGTTACCACCACCTCTTGCCAATGAATGGAATGTGCTTATTAAAACTCTTCAGAGTATAGAAAATATACAAGTACCTCGTTGCATTTTAAAAGAGACCTTTTCAATGCTCATTTTACAGGGATTTGCGGATGCCTCCGAGAAGGCATTTGGGGCAGTGATATATCTTCAAAGCATTACAAGCCCTGGTGAATATTGTAGTAAACTTCTTTGTAGCAAATCTCGTGTAGCACCAATCAAGACTATGACTATTCCTAGATTAGAACTATCAGCATGTCTACTCCTGTCCAAACTTATGCAAAAGGTTTTAGAAGCTTTGAAACTCAAAATTGATGACGTTAAGCTCTGGTCAGATTCAAGCATTGCTTTAGCCTGGATCAATACATCACCGCATCTTTTGAAAACCTTTGTGAGTAATAGAGTCTCACAAATTCAACAACTTACTTCTAACTATCAGTGGGGACATGTGTCTTCAGAAATGAACCCAGCCGACATCATTTCCAGAGGATCAGATGCTACAACTCTTGGATCTAACAAGCTGTGGTGGAAAGGTCCTGATTTTTTAAACAAGGACAATTTTCAAGATAAAAATGGACTTAGTGATGAGCTTTATTCTTCAGAACTGAAACCAGTTACGACTTCCTTGTTGACTTTAAAAACTGATTCATTCTTTGATGACTTCCTAAAAATAACTAATGATTTCTTGAAACTAATACGAATTCTTAGTTTACTTTTCAGATTTATCTACAACTGTAGGAACACAAGTGAGAAACGAACAGGTAGTATTAGTATAGATGAAATGGAGCTGTCAAGGAATACACTCCTTAAATATATCCAAGGTAGGTATTTTGCAGAAGAAATTTCTTTGTTGCAGAAAGGTCTACAGATAACATCAAGGAGTAAGTTAAAATATTTTGATCCCTTCTTAGATGAAAAAGGTCTGTTAAGGGTAGGTGGTAGGATAAAGAATTCTAATTTAAGTTATAGTCAAAGACATCCCATTATTTTGCCTGCCAAGAATAAGTTAACTGAACTTATATTTATTTATTTTCATGAAAAGGATTTTCATAATGGTCCACAATCACTATTAAATTCTATTAGACAAATTTATTGGCCCATTAATGGCAGGAATATAGCTAGAAAGATAGTCCAAAGCTGCATAATTTGCTTTAAGGCAAAACCAATAATTTCTCAACAACTAATGGGAGAATTACCTAAAGAGAGAATTAATATTAACTTTACATTTAATTGTTGTGCTATTGATTACTGCGGCCCATTTTTGATAAAGTACAAAGGGCAACGCAAGGGTAACTATCATAAGATATATGTTTGTATTTTTGTTTGTATGGTGACAAAAGCAATTCATCTAGAGATTGTCAATGACTTAACCACAGAAGCATTCATTGCTTGTCTGAAGAGGTTCTTTGCCCGACGAGGTAAACCAAAAAAAATATTTAGTGACAATGCAAAAAACTTTGTTAGTGCAAATACAGAAATAAAAAAATTAATGAGTATTTTTCTAAAGCAGAATGGAACTTTAGCTAATTTTCTAGCCGAGGAAGGTATACAATGGAAGTTTATACCCCCAAGAGCACCAAATTTTAATGGTCTATCTGAAGCAGGAGTAAAATCCTTTAAATTTCATTTTAAACGAACAGTAGGAAATTCAGTATTAACCTACGAAGAATTTTTGACAGTAACAGTTCAAGTAGAGGGAATCTTAAATTCTCGCCCTCTTACACCGTTAACTTCTAATATTGATGATTTAAATGTTTTGACCCCTGGTCATTTCCTTATAGGTCGACCGATCAATTCAATAATTGAACCCAATTTAACAGAAGTAGATAATAACAGACTTAGTTTATGGCAAAAAACTACAAAAATGGTACAAAATATATGGAAGAACTGGACTAATAATTACTTGAGCACTTTGATTCAAAGAAATAAATGGATGATTGCTAAACAAAATATTAAAATAGGGGATATGGTAGTGATCAAGGAAGAAAATCTTCCTACCTGTAAATGGTTGTTAGGGAGAATTGTAGATGTGTTTTATGGGAAGGACAACCTTGTGCGAGTTGTCTCTGTCAAAACCAAAAATGGTATTTATAAACGAGCAGTTACTAAAATTGCTGTACTGCCAATTGAGAAATAATGTACGAATTTTTATGTTTATTTGAAGGTTTGAATTGTAATCCATCATATTTGTTCTTTTCACATTGTAATTACTTGTATTATAATTTGTGCATTAATTTACATTGTATCATTTTGTATTGTATGAACATTTATTACTTTTTTGAATTTTACTTATTGTATTGAAATTAATATTTCAACGCCGGGCGGGATGTTCGGTGTCTGAAAGAGTATTGCTTGGCAGCATTGTTTTACGCCAAGCAGAGTTTGGCTTTAGTGTAACCCTAAAGTTATTTCGTTTTTGCTTTATTAGTATGAATGATTTCTGACTTGATGTAAGAGCATATGGTTGCTCGCTCTTTAGCTAAGTTACATAGGTAACTATAAGCACATGCGTGTGCTAGTATTCAATAATGTTGTTTTTGTTAAAATAAAATTGTTATTGTTAATATTACAGTCCACTTACTGAAGTTAAGTATCATTAAATAAGTTCGAGCTATCTTCGGCAAGACACTGGATATCTAAACAAGTAATATGAGATAAGAAGATTTCCTAATTGGAAATGAAATATGTTAAATCAACATTTTGAAGTAAGATCCTTGAAAAAAGAGGACGAACCCAAATGAGAAAGCAAAAAACTTTATGAAGGCATAAACGGTATCAGAACTTTAAGTCACCTTAAGCAAAATTCAGCAGCTTTTTAAAAAAATAATTTTATCATATACTTATTAAGCAGTAATAATAACCTTATCAATTAAAATTGGTTTTGTTTCTTTTTTTTAAATTACAATGATATTTAGATTGTTTAAATAATATACACTTTCTTAACCAGAATTACATCTAATATATTTTTCCCATACAAAGTTAACTTAATGGAAATTGTTTTGGCAATATGCACAGTTACATTGTAGAGTCATTAGGTTATTTTGATGGCAGAGGCATGAAAAATGTGCAATGCCCTTGCAGGGACTCGATCCTGGACCTCTTGAATATGCGCAGAGCATGCTACTATTACCGCTGGAAGGAGGGAGAAAATACCTTACACTACTTTTTAAAGGGCAACTCGATATGATAGGATTCAATTGCCATGTTGAATTAACATCCACCACCTTTTAGTCTAGGCATCACTGTAGAGTCATTAGGTTATTTTGATGCTGGAGATGTGAAAATTGTGCAATGCCCTCGTCGGGACTTGAACCTGGACCTCTTGAATAAGCGCCCAGTGTGCTACTGTTATACCACGAAGGCATACTGGAAGGAGGGAGAAAATACCAACCATAACTCCCATGTTTGACAACGGTTTACTGAATATATAAAGATTAAAGATGTGACTGACAGAAGGAAAATGTATAAGTAAAAACTGTTCAGAGCAACCAATCTGAATGATTCTAGTCAATTTTATAACATTAAATAACTGCACAGTAATGAAAATTATTGAATTAATTGTGGTGAAATAATAAGGTACCTGCAAGGATGCATGCCTTTAGGAGAAAGGGGTACAATCTACTGCCTTCTTCAAGGATATATAAATCAGCAAATTAAAAAATAAACCTGTTTATTAAAACAGAAACAAACATGTAACATACCACATTTTCTAATGGATGTGCCCCAAACACTTTGAAATTGTTCTGTGGTTTGCCAGGAGTGACTACAAGGACAACAGCTTGTTGTCCCACTCTTATAGTATATTCATCAATTGTGGCTTTCAGTTTCCTATTAAAAAAAAAAAAAAAAAAAAAAGATGCATGGTCTTGCAATATATATGTGTATATAAAAGATTTGATTTTAAATTCTATGCCAAAAAAAATTCCTGAATAAACAACTTATCTCTAACTTTTTTATTGAAATATGTAAACACAGAATAAATTAGCAATATATGACAAATAAGATATTTTCATATATATATTTTTATTAATAGATGACATTTCTTTTCCAGGTTATTTTAATTAATGTATGATGACTACGTTTTAGTAAGTATTTTATCACAATTTTTGTGCAAATGCCTACTTAAGAAATATAAAAGCTGATTGGCATGATCAAAATTAAATATTATTCAAAATTTCTACATACTGCTTTTAAATTAATTTTAGTAACATTTATAAAGCTTAACTTCTTAATAAAATTCAATAAAAATTCAAATAATTGTAGAAAACTTGACATATTAAAATTTCTTCATGTAATAAAATTTAAATTGAATTTCTAAAAATACAATATAATGAAATATTAGGCAAGCTACAATTTCAAATTGTTATAATGAGCTGAATATTCATCAACATGAAAAATAAATCACTTATTTGGATACTTATTCATCACATTTAAACAATGTGCTGCATTATTCTATTAGAATATAGTACCTTAATAACCTTGTTTGTTGGCGTTTACGTATTGAAGGATTTGTTTCAAATGAATGAGGTCTCTTGCGTTTTTTGGCAGTAGCAATAGCAGCAGCTGCAGCCATCCCAATAGGACCTGGAAAAAAAAGGGGGGGGAATAACATTTAAATATCATTATGTACTCTGATTCAGATGTCTTTTCATTTAAAGGAAGAAAGCATATATAAAAAATAACTGCACTGTTTTCAGCAACAAATATTAAAAATTATTGTCTTTGGAAAAATTCAGAGAATTTCTGTTGTTTAATTCACTTTTAGTACAAAAGAATGCATTAAAAACTGAATTACTTGAATATAAATTAATTAAATTTACTCACAGCAGCTGAAATTATTTACAAAAGCCGATTCAAATAGTTTTTGTACGAGGGTTGGAACTTTAATAGTGGCAACACAGCTGAAAAAACGCTACGCAACAAAACCAAAGAATATCGCGTATACCACACGTAAACTACATACCTACCTTACCTCTCAGCAAAAAGACTCGTCCTGCCTACGTCACGCGCATGTGGAGTGACGCGGAGAACGAATCCTTGTATTAGCTGGCGGTCTAAAGTAAGTGTTGTCAGGATGTTTTCAAAACAAGAACAACGATGTTGGATAAAAATTGAATGTGCCAGAGGTCGGACAGCACAACAGTGTCATCTAGGGCTTCAAGAGCCTTGTGGGGAATCTGCATTGCCTTACAGAACCATAGCAAGATGGGTGAAAGCATTCAATGAAGGACGCCAAAATGTGGCAGACATGCTGCGGCCAGGTCGTCCGAGTGTCAGTGATGCAGACGTGCAAGCTGTTGCCGCATAATGACAGTGATCGCCGCCAAACGATTCGTCAGCTGGCCGGACAAACAGGATTAGCGCATACGACTGTGCTGCACATTCTGAAGGAACACCTGTCCATGAGAAAATTTGCTTCACGATGGGTTCCCCATCAATTGACGAAAATGCAGAAATGGCTACGATACGATGCTGCCCGAACCCACCTAGAGCGCTATGAGTGCGAAGGAGATGCTTTTTTACGACGTATCATTACGCTGGATGAGACTTGGGCCCGATCGTACCAGCCAGAACTAAAACGCCAATCAAACGAATGGTGTCATCACGGGTCACCACGACGTTCGAAATTTCGTCAGAACCCCAGCAATGTGAAAGTTATGGTGATTCTCGTGTATGACTGTGATGGTGTCTTTGCCATCCACCATATTCCCCAGATCTAAGCCTTTGTGACTATGACTTAATTCCTAAGATGAAGGAACCACTTCGTGGCACTCGCTTCCAAACTGTTCCTGAGATTCTTGTGGCAGTAGACCGATCCATTCAAACTATCAACAAAACAGGCGCTGCTACAGGTATTCTGCGACTTCCACATCGTTGGAAACGAGTTGTACACAATGCTGGCGACTATATTGAAGGACTGTAAAACATGGTGACATGAATCACTTTTTTGTATTCCTTGTAAATAAGTAGTTGCCACTATTAAAGTTCCAACCCTCGTATTTTCTTATCATATATCAATTTCTTAAAATCATTCATTAATCTGAACAGCACACGCAGGGGGAAAAAAGTGCTAAATTTTCAAGGAAAAAATTTTAAAATATTCTTAATTCACATCAATTGTTTTGTATATAATATGGATGAAACATATCAAATAATTTACAGAAATATTAACACAGTTTACTGTGGAAATAATTATAGAAACACCTGAAAGGTGATTGGATTCATTAATTGATTTTATTTACCACAAAGCACATAGGGAACTAGTCATAAACTCATTGCTGACTTTGGGCAAACACTCATAAACCTGTTGATGACTATTTTTGTACCAAGCTAATGTGCAAAAGGCAACAGCCACTTTTAAAATGGTGGCACACTTAGAATTCCATACATGAGCTAACAATAAATAAAATTTAAAAAGAAAGAACCATCAGTGATAAAACACCTTTTTTGAGAAATCCTTTTCGAGACTCTGTTTTCCCTGTGTACACAGTGATACGCTGCTTAAAAAAAATCACAGACCTGCCCAGCAAAGTACGACATCAGCATTATGCACCAGCCAAAACAGACATGTGCAATGCACGTGCCTTGGATTGCTTCACATATACTTTTTGGCAACATACTGCTTTGCCTCAAGAATACTCTTTCATGAATTTTTCACAGAGGGGCGGATAATCAGAAAGTTTCATTTAATATAAGCACCAAAAATTGTAAAGCTGATTTGGAATTACCATTTTAGATTTCCAAAATGGTTAAAAATATAGAACAGAAAATAACTTTTGCAAATTCATTAGCACATTGTATTTTGAGAGTTTCCATTAACAACTGTTACTGCTGGTGATCAAAAATTTTCAGATAAATTAAAAAACTTATTTACTCACAGTTCAGAATGAAATGTATAACTCCTAATACAATATCTACTTCTTACAGAATTTAGCATTTAAACTGACAAATAAAATGCTTAAATTTTTATAACTTCCAGTCAGGTAAATACATTTCCATTAGTACAATTATTCTAATAAACTTAATTTCACAATTAAAGATCTAGTTGGATGAATTTTAAGTTACCAACAAATTGATAAAAAATGATAAAAATTAACACAGATATACGAAAAAGAAGCACTTATGATATTCAACTCAGTCCAATCAGAATATTTAAACAAAAATTACCGGCTGCAGCAAGCTGAGCAGTAACATCAGCAACATTTGATGAACTAAGCAAATCGGCATCTTCAAAACCAGGACTATCTAGAGACGACGAGGGATCACTCATATCATCAGGGATGATAGAGTGATTCACAGTAGATGTCACATCAGCATTTATTCCTGAGCTGGTACTCATCCTATAAAAGGAGAGGGAAAAAATCTAACAAAATTACACGCAGAGCATAAATTATAAATATTCATATGTCTTTCAAAAACATTTGTATGCATGTTTTAAAAATAATTAGCACATTAAATTATTTTCAGTAATGCATCAAATGCATGGAAAAATGATGCGCTGGAGACAGTGTTGCCATTGCTTGCTTTGAAATTGTTGAGATTGTTAATCAGAAATTCATTAAAATTTTACAAAACTTGAAATTGATAATAAAATAAATTTGAAAATCAAAATTCAGGCTTCCAAGTGCCCATGTTTGGTTGGTGAATTATGTGGAAATAGCATGGCACTTTTATAAACAATTGACATTACTTTCATGTAATGAATAAAATATTTTAAAATAGAACATTTCCATTTATACATAATATTCTTAACAGTATCTCACAAAATTAAAAAAAAAAAAAAAAACTCACAAACCAGTGCAGATATATGAACAGCCAGTGATAAGGTTCTTAAATTATTTTGGAATACTAAATTTCAAAAATTTTATTAATAGAAATATTATTTGTAAAAAAATTTCATAAAAATCTGTCCCATGTTTCCGCTGTCAAATTAAGCAAACCAAATTTTAGAATATTAAATGCATTTCAGGATAATCTCACCCTTCAAGAAGTAAAAATATTCTGCACTATGACCAAATTAAAATTAATCAAAAAAAAAAAAAAAAAAAAAAAAAAAGACCAAATTTTATGAGCAGGTTTTATGTAAAATTATATCTGAATCATCTGAATATTTATTTTTATAATGAAAAAAAATCCTCAAATAGGCAATTTTTCCTTTCTCAAAAATTCTTAAAAATATGTTTATCCATATTGGCACTCCCACCCCTCCCCAAGTTACCATCCTCTGAGGTGTTGGAATCTCAGATAAGTATTCGAAAAATGATGGATATGTCTTTTTTAATCTAAGTGCCCTTACAACCTTGAATAACAATCTTTTACTTCCTTGTCCGAATAAAAGGAAGTATTGTAATCGCGAAAGTTCGGCATCTATTTCACGCAAATATCCATTTCCGCTACTGAAGCAATTAACGATGTTTTTGCGTGACATCTGTCTAAGGAAGTGTAAAGGACCTCTTAGCCCCCCAAAAAAATTGTAATAATTTAAATGAATTCTAAGAGAATTTTTTGTGGCTCTGTGGCATGTATCTCGCAAAACTCGAAATGAGTAGCCCGCAGATGTTGAAATTTTGTATTAAGCGCTATAACTGTAGATATGCACCTCGTATTTTGGTTGCAATTGCCGCCCAAATATTAAATTATGTATACATCATTATATATTGTATGTATGTATACATATATTTATATATATATATATTTACATATGTATAAATAGTCAAAGTCGTTAATCCGGACGTCGGGACTTCGCGATTCCGGATATCGATTTTTGGATTATAGATCATCATTTAAATCTGGTAAGATGGCATGCAGATTTATAAAATTAAAAATATGAACCGTAATTATGAAATAAAGAAAATTATGATCTAAAGGGTATCAAATTACAAAAAAAAGCTTAATATTATTGTTTACTTTATTAAACATTTCTTCAATGTAATTGTTTAGTTGCTTCGTTTTATTTGATAATACTTTCTCTTTAATTCTATAAACAGACATAATTTCTTCTTCAGTTACAGTTCCGCTGTCAAGTCCTATAATTGCTGTGTATAAGAATGTAGAGTTATATTGCTGTGTACGAGAATACCGACTAAAATTGAAATTATTCGTTTCAATAACCTCTGTGTCACTTCCTTCGCTATCGGAAGCGAATATATAGGAGAATTTGATTAAATCATATCAAGACGTAGTACATCGAGATGAAATACTACATTTAGTAAGGAATTATAAGCCAATAAAATAAAAAACATCTGCCTGAAGACAAGGATAGTGCTGACAGATCAACTTCCAATTCATTGCGCGCCGCGGCGTTTCCCCTCCCCTGCCGAGAGCAGCGTGAAATTGAAAATAGATTTTCGGAATGGTAGAGAACGAAGATATGATTTATCCCTTTTTGCATAATTCACTTTTTGTTTAATGGACTTCGAAACATACTTTCGTCTGTATATCCTTTACATATAATAAATATATATCGGAAATTCTATTTGACATAATCGAAAGTTCAATCTACTTTATAAAATTGCTCTAACAGTCTGCAAAAAATACTAAGCCGTATCCAATTCGAAATTAAGGAACACGCAATCTGCAACCTTAACTGAATTAGATAATTTTAGCTTAGCTTATAACCGTCCGTTATACATTAAATGCGCATGCTTAAACGTATTATGCGCATGCACACGCATTCGCAGCCGTAAAGGTCTTACGCGCATGCGTCCAGAAGTTTGTAGCTTT